CAAATTAACTTCATGGGCGTCCACTGAAAGCAACACTGAAAAATCTGACTGGACTTTTTGTCTTTCACATTCCTTTTGTAAAGTCTTTGTCTGAACGCAGATCATCTACTTAAACAATCATTTTAACCTAGGCCTAAAAGAAGCCACTGAGACTGGAACACCTATCTTAAACTGCTGCTTAATGTCTTGCTACATTAAAATGTAACACAGTTTTTTTAATTTGTAAACTGAGATAGGACAGAAGAAATAAAAGGTAGAAAGAAGATAAGGAAAGCCTAACTATAAACTGTAGTTTGTAAGACAACTACAACTTCCAGAACTTAGATGAAGTCACCCAAGACAGCCCAATGCTAACATTCCTTAGCTAGATTTATACCTCTTCCCTAACAGACTTATTACTAAAAGGTCATAAATCGGATTAATTAAGAACGTAAGATATAGGAGCCTGACCCTGAGATAAGGACTATGGTAATGTAAACAGTACTTGGCCAGATTTACACTCCTTCCCTATCAGACCCATCACTAGAAGGCCACAAATTGGCTCAATTAAGAGAATAAACAAAAGTTTGAGTGAACCCACAGAATATTTAAATTCTATTAAAAAAAAACAAACCGAGCCTGCAAACAGACTGGTAACTTTGGGGGACAGGGGCCTCTGTGTCCCGAGCTTTTCACAGAATAAATGTATTCAGATCGAAACTGTAATGCGTCCCATTTTTCTGATCACCTGCACTCCCTATAGACTGTGTACTACGCTGTCTACTTTTGCCTATATTAAACCGTACTCATGCCTCTTTCTGACACACAATTCTTTTTCTGCAACAGAAGTCAGTGAATCTTTTACCATGGGGTGGAGAAGTTCTCAGACCCAGCCAGAGATAAAATCAGACTCTAGACTCCATTGAAGTAAAAAAATCTTTATTCTGTTTGGGTAGGGAGGATGGTAATATTTGTACTTGATGTATTCACGTAGGAACAAACCATTCTCATCTTGGCTGCAACAAATTCTTAAGGAAATGTCTTATCTCATAGCCAAATCAAATTGTCAGAAATTAACATGTTCTGAGTGGTTCCAGGGCCTGCCTCACAAGCACAAGGACCCGAATTTGATCCCCTACAAAAA